GTGTGTGTGTGTGTGTGTATCCTAGTGAGGCCCTGTGTGATGGATCACCCAGAGGAGGGCACCGGAGACTGGACAGTTACTCTCCAAACTTGATGGGCTTTCTTGGCCTTGGTGACCCTTCCTTGGTCTCTGATCAGACCGTCCCCCTTCAGGGAGAATGGTGGACACATGTGCCAGAACTGAGGAGCGAGTACAGGTGCCAGGGGAAAGGTGGGGCAGGACTGTCCGTGGTCCAACACACTCCATATGGCCATCTAGCCATGGGTACAGAAGGACAGACAGACAGCCATGCATGCGCGCACACTCTCCTGTGTTCCTCGGTCTGCCCCAAGCCATGAGGCTGGAGGCCGGGGCTGGATATACCTCATCGCCTTCCAGGTGGGGTCCCAGGGTTGGGCCTATGTCCTTCGGTTGATGGCCACCCTGGGGGTCATCCAGGTGGTAATTAGCTACTGTCAGAGTCCTGTGTCCTGTTTCCACATTGTGCAAGGGTCTGCCCAGCTCAGCTCAAGCTTCTGAAAAAATGACCCCCTGAGGGTGTGTTATCTTTAGCCCGTCCCTGACACGTTCTTTCTGTTTTTCCCTCCCTCTCTCCCTCCCTCCCTTCCCCCTCTGTGGTGGTAGCCCAGGGCAATCCCGACACCCCCCCCCCCGCCCTGAGCTGCAGCAGACCAGGCTGGGCATCCAGGTGCCCTTTCGTTGAGCAGAAGATACAGGACTCTGTGCCCCAGGCTCTGCCAAAGGCACCCACGACCGGGGACGCTTTCCGCATTGTGAGTTCAGCTTGGCTTTGAGTCCTCTAGTCAGGTGCCTGCTATTTCCCGGTCACAGTTAGCCAGGCCTCCCTTGCTTTCCCTCCCACGCATCTGTGCAGAGTTGGTTTTGGTTCTGGCTCAGGTCAGGGCGACCTTCTTGGCTCTTCGGGCTTCTGGACACCTGCCTTCAGCAAATCTCTTGAGTCCCTCAGGCTGTGATCACAGCCTCCTCCTTGTCTCTCTGTGGGTCCCTCCCTATCAGATAGTCACTTCCAGCTGGAACCAGAGGGCAGCCTCGCCCTTGCTCAGGGCTCCTGGATGGATGTGACTCCAAGAGACAGAAGGCATCCTCGGTTACTCGGTCCAGTCATGGAAGCTTCCAGAGCCCACAGTGGAGACAGAATGGAGACGGGCCAGCTCAAGCCTGTGTGAGAGGCCAGCGGGATTCCAGCAGTGTCTCCTGCCCTATAGACCTAGTGCTGTCTCTTCTTAGGGACCCAACATCAGCTTCCTCACCCGTGGGAACCCACAGAACAGAGCCGGAGAGGCAGGCTGAGGTTCCCAGCAGTCCTGTGGAATCAGGTAAACAGACATTCCCTCCCTCTGCTTCTCTCCCTCACACACAGTCTTCACAGCCCTCACCACACCCACACGCTCAGCGCCGACGGTACTTCCACCGGGACCCTCTGGCTTGTGACAGTTTCAGAATCAGGTCTGGCAGGGAACCCGTACGCTTCAGGAGAGGTTTCATAAACAGCTTTGCCCTCCCCTCCCTCCAAAGATGGCTCCTCTAGGGTGTGTAACCTGTCAGCCTTGAGGGGTTTGGTCAGGTGATCAGATAGGGCTGAGAGTCAGGGTCAGGGATGTGCAGATTACAGCTTTAGCCAGCTTAGATGTCCAGGAGGCTGGGGACACCATCACTCCCCGCTGTGAGACCCCCCCCCCCCCCGCTGACTACTGTCCCCAGTGCCTTAGGGGTTCTAGCAGCAACCACAACGGGCAGCTGGCAGGAAGCGTGGGCCTGTTCCGTCAGTCCCCAGAGGGCCTCCCTCAGTGGGGACAGGTCTGTCTTTTCCCTCAGCGACTTACCTTCAGCATGGTCCACAGATGGTCTGGCTGATTGTCAGGGGGGGAAGAGAAATAACTCCAAGAAGAAAAACCCCAACAAAACAAAACAACACCCCTAAACAACAACAAACAAAACAAAACAACACACCCTGCCCCAAACCAGAGCTACACAGCAAGATCCCATTTCGACAAAACAAAAGCAGGAAGTGGAGACCTGGCTCAGCAGTTATGATCTGGTTCAGGGGGACTGGAGGTTAAGGCTACTCTTCCAGAGGTTCAGAGTTCAATTCCCAGCACCCACCTGGTGGCTCACAACCGTCTATAGTGACATCTGGCGCCCTCTTCTGGTAGGCAGGTGTACATGCAGTTGGAACACTAAATACAGATCCGAGTTCAATTGCCATCACCTATTGGGAAGCTCACAGCTGCCTACCTCCTCTGTTCCCCACAGACACCTGCAACCACGTGTACACATTCACCTATAATTAATCGGTCCCTGTCACTTCCTAGCATGACATGGAGTGGACACCACTGCTCTGAAAACCATGTGCTTTATTGAGACCTTTCCTGGGTCATAGAAAAGCAGCAAACCACGTGGTTTGGTACAAGGCAAAGGACGGAGGGATGCAGGACACCCCTTACCGCCGGGGCCCTCTTCTGGGCTTCGGGCCTCCCTGGTCAGCACAGCTGGGCCACGTTCTTAGAGCATACACCTGAGAGCTCAGCATCAAGCTGAGCCAACCCGACGAGGAAACGGCTGGGGGTCGAGGGTCAAGGTCCAGCGCCTGGGCCTCTGTCGCCCGCAACCCCAAGGCCTCATATCCTCAGAGACCAGGGTTCGAGCTCAGCTCCCGGAGGGTGCGCAGGCGGACAAAGCCCGCCCCCGGCCCGCAGGCCCCGCCCTCAGTACAGGTCCGAGAAAGGCTTGGAGTAGTTGAACATCAGGTAATCCATGTAGTAGAAGTCGTAGGCGCGCTGCCGCTGCAGGGAGGAGAGCTGGGCGAAGTAGCGACGGGTGATGCTGGCCGTGGTCCTCGCCTCCTGGGAGTGCCTGTCCTTGAACCTGGGGAACGTCAGGTTCCCGGGCGCCTGGATGAGGCGCAGGAAGAAGTTGGCATCGCCCTCCATGCTCTCGAACTTGCCCACGAAGTCGTAGTCGATGAGGCAGGGGCTGCACAGCCGGCTCACGTGGTCCCAGTGGATGTCCATACCCACGGGCCGGTGGACGTCCAGCAGGTACTGGACGAACTCGGGGAACCGCACGCCCGAGCCGGTCCGCAGCGCCTCCAGGGAGGCGTTGGCCCGGTAGCGGGCCAGGATGGCCTTGCCAAAGACGGGATGGTAGTAGCTGTTGGGGTGCTCGAACTTGTCCCGGAAAGCCGAGACCAGCCGCTCGAAGGGTTCGCGGACGAAGAGCATCTTGGTGTAGGTGCTGAGGCGGTGCACGATGCCCTGGCGGTCGAAGGTGTCCAGGCGCTTGAGGGCGCTGCCGTAGTGCACCGTGTTGTGCTGGATGTCCGCGGTGGAGGAGGCCAGGCCCGCCAGCACCATCAGCACCCGCTTCCAGTTGGAGCAGCCGGCCTTGGGCACCTCGCAGTACAGCACGCGGTGGCGGTCCTCCACGAAGATGCGCGACACGTGGCGGGGGGTGACGGCCCGGCGGCTGCTGCTGGCCCTGTACTTGGCGCAGGCCTCCCGCATCACGCGCTTGCGCTCCTGCTGGGCCTGGTGCAGGCTCACCCAGCGGCTGTCCGCGGCGCGGGGTCCCGGCTGGGCCAGGGTCTCGGTGGCGTTCTTGCCGCGCACGGTCCCCGCCGCCGCCGGCATCTTCTTGATGAGCAGCCTGCGCCTGCGCTGCCGGAGGCGGGGGCGGGACCCCGCCGCCCTGGCGTGGGGTCGAGGCTGGTCAGGCACCTGCAGTTGGAGGCCTCGCGGGAACCCGCTGGGTGAACCTCTCGCCGCCCTCTCTGTGGGTGTCCGCGCCCTATCCTGGGACGAGAAGAGAAGGGGTGGAGGGGGTGGGGAGGTGGCAGGGGGAGGGGCTGGCGAGCCTCTCTCAGCCCTGGGACCTGCAGCTACAGGAGAGCAGAAAGTGGGACCCGAGCGGCGATTCTATTTTCTACCACTAGGTGGAGCAGTTCCCCCAGGAACCTCGGCTTGGCCAGCGTGGGCGGGCGGAGGCTGGGGGCCTGCAGGAAGGAGGCTGCCTCAGGTTTACTGTGTCTGTTAGCAACGTCCAAAGGAGCCATCTAACAGAGAAGGGAAATTCACGGAGCCAGAGCCCCGGGTTTTGTTCCCAAGGCTCCTGGAAAGCACCCGACACGTTTTTTCTTCCTATGGATGGATCCACCGTAAGCTCCGAATTGTCTTTCTCACCCGCTCCAGCTCCTCCCCTGGGGACTGAGATTGATGGGATTCTTTGAACTTACATGCTGGGGCTGCTGGGGCCGGATGCTGAACTTTATGCCTGGAAAGCAGCAGAAGAGAGAGAAGAGTTAAAACAGTAGAAGCGTGGAAAGGTACCGCATACAGGAATGGCCCAACCGTCAGGACCCCCTCAGGCCACCCTCCACCCGACCCGGTCATTAGGTCACAAAGTACCCTTTAGAAGGCTCTGTCCAGCCTCTCTCCGTGCCTGTCACCACACACTGCTCATACTTGCATGTGACAACAGCTTCACACACCAAGCCCACGGAGAAAAGGCATCCCAGCACACCTAGGAGGGCCCCTTGCCTCGGCACTCCCGCAGGAGCGTTGGTGTCCATGTCTGGCTCATCCCTGTGTCCCCTAAAGGCGTGAGCAGAGCCAAGGCACGGACAAGTGCCGATTGGTGACTCGGGGAAGATGGAGAGAGAGATCCGTGTGCTGCTGGCCGTGTCCACCGCGTTCCTGGTTGCTATGACGAAGTGCCTCACGCACGCCAAATAAAGAAGAAATACTGGGGGATGGAGAGATGACTCAGCAGCTCAGAATCCTTGCGGCTTTCTCAGAGGGCCAGGGTTCAATTCCCAGCAACACGTGACAACTGTAACTCCAGTTCCAGTGCCTCTTTTAACACCTTTTTTTCTGGCCTCTGAACACATCTGGATGTATATGTAGCAAACACCCGTACACGGAACATTAAAGAGGGAAGATTTATTTAGGGCCACAGTTTTAGAGGGGTCAGTCGGTGGTTGCTTGGCCTCGTGTGCTTGGACAGAGCATCGTGGTGGTAGAATCCATCGTGTGTTAAAGGGGAATTATTCACTTCACAACTGACTGGAAGCCGAGAGAGCAAGACAGGAAAGGGCCTGGGACCAGATATTTTTAAAGACTTAACTCCAGGGCTGGAGAGATGGCACAGAGGTCAGGAGCACTGGCTGCTTTCCCAGAGGTCCTGAGTTTAAATGCCCAGCAGCCACATAGTGGCTGACAACCATCTATAGCGAGATCTGGTGCCCTCTTCTGGCCTGCAGGTGTACATGCAGGCAGAACACTGTATACATAATAAATAAATAAATCTTAAAAAAAAAAAAGACTTAACTCCAGTGACCCTCTTCTTCAAGTTCACAGAACTTCCTAAACAGGGCCAAGAGCTAGGCACCAAGACTCTAACATAAAAACCTTGTACCAATACTTTTATTGTTGTTGAGGCAAAATAACAGACAGAAGCAATAGAGAAGAAGGACCTATTTTTGTCTCACAGTTCCATGGTGGGGGAGGCATGACGACTTGGCTTCTGTCTGTGGTTGGGAAATGATCTGTTATAGCTCAGCTGACCACAGACCAGCAATCTTAGGCCCAAGCCAATGATGCTTAGCCACAGCGCCACCAAGTGGTGGCCGAGTGTTCAAACACCTGAGCCTGTGAAGGACATTCCCCATCTACATTCACAGCCTTTGGCCAGGCTGGGGAATTCTGCTTCACATCGTTTGGTATATTGGGGGCAGTTGGCTGGGAAGGCAAGGTCTTCTACAGATCTCAGCTGTTCACTGAGATGGCCGGGACTCTGTTCCTGGACCCTGGAGTGGACATTTGTGCTCTGAGACTTTGCTAAAAGCCCGTCACTAATCAGAGAAACAGCCGGTCCCTCACACAAGCAAAGAGGCAGAGTGATGGCCAGCATGTTGGGTTGCTGTGCCCAGTTCCTGGATGAGAGCTTCCGTGGGAAACCAAAGTTGGCATCATGAGTCTTCCTCCATCACTGCCACCTTGGGGGGTCTCTTTGACCCTGGCACTCATCGCTTTAGCTAGACTGGCTGGCCAGTGATCTCTTAGGATCCTATATCCCCAGCACTGCCAAGCCTGGCATTCTTACTTTGTGAGCAGAAAGTCCTTATGCTCGTCCAACAAACACAGAACTCACCAAGCCAGTTCCCAAGCCTCCAGAACCTTCTTCTCTGAGACGGCCTCAGTTCTCAGTTTTACACCAAGCTGGCCTCACAGTTACAATCCTGCTTCCATGTCCCTGCTAGCACTGCAGGCGTCTCAAGAGATTTCAGTCTGAGATTCAATCCAGCATGGTAGGGGAGGCATGTGGTAGTCACGGTAATGGGAGCATCAGGTAGACTCCCCCACAGTGGTGGACCAGGAGCAGAACCAGAAGTGGGTAGAAACTCAAAGGTCTACCATTGTGGACCCACTTCTTCTGGCCAGACCCCACCTAAAAGCACCATGGACCTCGAAACTGTACTAAAAGCTCGGGATTATGTGTTCAAAACATGAGCCCATGGGGGCCATTTCCCATCCAGACCTTAACAGATGGAAGCAGAGGTAGACCTTGGGTACACTGTCGCTTTCTTCTGCCGGTCTTGGATTGGGTACAAATGATCCCCTCTTGGGGACAAAGGACCCACCCTCCTGGGTATTTGCAGGTCTGTGTGTATGTGAACACACACACACATACCCACGGGAAAGTTGCAAAAACAAGCCTCCTCCTAGTCTCTTCCAAAGAGACTGGCAGGGGTTCAGTGCAGAAGTGGGGTGAGCCTGGCTTAGCGGTGAAGCTCCTGCCCACTGTCCCCTCAGCCCGAGCCTATCCCACCCTCGCCAACGCCTGCCTTCCTCAGCCCATCCTGTCTCCAGCACAAGCTTCCCGAGCTCATTTCTCTTTGGCATGTGGGGTCCGCTCCCACTGCCAACGATGACAGATCCCTTCACCAGCGGGGACACGCCGCAGCCGCTCCGTTTCTCTCTCCACCACGGCGTTCCTTAATTATTTTCTTCTGGTGACGGCAGCTGGCTCTGCTAAATCACCTCTCCTCCTCAGAGTCTCAGACGCGGGGGTTTACTCTGGTTGTCACTCCTGTCAACCTGTCAAGGTGTGATGGCGCTTATTTATATTCCCTTTCTGGAGCAAACGAGTCATGCTAAATTTGGCCAGGAGTGGGGCTGGAGAGCCACTTGCGGAGGCAGCCCATTAACTCAGCGAAGTCAGACTGAACTGCTGGGGCTGTGGGCCTGTCCCCTTTTCACCCTTGCTGAGGGGACGGGAGGGCCCTGACTGGTGCATGCTGTCTCCAAGCCAACAGGGAGTTCCAACAGATAGCCACTCCTAGGGGCATCAAACGCACAGGATGAAGAGATACTCCCTCCTGGACACAACCCAGAGTCACATTTGCCCACCAGGCCAAGCTGGCTGCAACCGTCCACTTGGAAAATAATTTCACATTGCAAGTAATAGCAGGCGAAAGGACAGGTCTCATGTGGAGCTGAGAGTGTGCCCAAAGCTGTATGCTCCCAACCCTTAAAGTCAGGGCAGGTCGTTAGGTGATGATGAACCCAATTTCCACACAGCCGCTTCTGAATAGACAGAAGCGTAATGAAGGGAATGTAGTTGACCCCCCCCCCCCCAGTGGCTCAATTCTCACAAGGAGGAAGTGGCTTTTCCATAAGTTGTTTAAATAAAGGCGGAAGGTCTGGGCAAGCCAAAGCTGGATGTTTGCATGCTCTGGGCCACTGCACTCCAGGGCCATTGACAGCTCCGTGGAACGCCCAGGAAGGGTCATTGCTAACCCTCAGCCCTGCCATCAGTAGCATGGGTCTCTTGCTTGTTTTTGGAGACAGGGTTTCTCTGTGTAGCCTTGGCTGTCCTGGAACTCTGTGTAGATCAGGCTGGCCTCTAACTCACAGAGATCCGCCTGCCTCTGCCTCCCAAGTGCTGGGTTTAAAGGCATGTGTCGCCACCACCTGGCAGAAGGAGCACTGGTCCAACCCAGTGAGGGGCTGGGGTGTGGCTCAGTGGTAGAGCCCCTGCCTAGAATCCCCCAGTGAGGGGCTGGGGTGTGGCTCAGTGGTGGAGCCCCTGTCTAGAATCCCCCAGTGAGGGGCTGGGGTGTGGCTCAGTGGTGGAGCCCCTGCCTAGAATCCCCCAGTGAGGGGCTCATCAGTAGAATATTTATACATGAAACCCTGAGTTTCACCCTCAGTCCCACAAGAAAGGAAGGAAGGAAGGAAAAAGAAGACAAAAAGATGAGCCTTGCCTATCGTCATTAGCCCTAGCTTCCCCTTAGCAGGTAACAAAAGGTTTTCAGCAAGAAAGAAACAGAAAAAAACTGCCAGGCAATGAAGAGTTCACAGCACGGACGCATTTGGCAGTCCCCATAACTCATGCCTTGTTTCTTCTCACTGATGCTCACTCTTCTCACGCTGTGTTTCTTTGAATGTCATCTTTCCAGAAGGAGAAACTGGCTGTTTATTTCCTGCTGTGCAGAGGGCTGAAGTGCCCTTACAGATTTTTAACACTGTCCTGAGAGTAGCAAGCGGGTAACCCAGACACTGAGAGCAGAGGCAGGGTGTGACTGACCTTGAGGGTCTCCTGTCCTGGGAAAGGGTGGGAGATGGGCACACAGCAGTGTTTGTGTCACTGGAAGGAAGAGGGGACTTCGGATCCTGCTTACACTCTCCAATAGGCTCACTTTTTTTTTCCCCTGAAGGTGAAATCCAGGACAAGCACAAGCACCCTACCACTGAGCCACACTCCCAGCCCCTCACTGGGGGATTCTAGGCAGGGGCTCTACCACTGAGCCACACCCCAGCCCCTCACTGGGGGATTCTAGGCAGGGGCTCCACCACTGAGCCACACCCTAGCCCCTCACTGGGGGATTCTAGGCAGGGGCTCTACCACTGAGCCACATGCTAGCCCTCACTGGGGAGTTCTAAGCAATAACTTTACCACTGAGCCATCCCCTTAATCCCTACAAAGTGAGGCTTCTTTCCTCCATGTTTTCCTCTTTTTCCTCCTCTATTTTATTCTTAAGAAAGTCTCATTGTATAGCCCAGGCTGACCTCAAACCTGCAATCTTCCGGTCTCAGCCTCCCAGGTTCTGGGATTAAAGGTGTGTACCAACATGCTTGTCTCTTATCTCTCACCAAGCTTCCTCATAATGAGGAGATGCAGTCTGAGTCTGTGGCAGAGCTGGGAGGAGCAGAAACCCTGGTGTCCTGGGCCTCTGAGGCTTCACTGTCTGCACCGTGGTTTCCAGTTTT